ACCCTGCTTCGGCAGGAGGGTTGGACTAGATGACCCACAGAGGTCCCTTCCAACCCCTACCATTCTGTGATTCTGTGAAAGGAGTGCTAGGAGGCAAGTAAATGGCTTCCATATAGAGAAATCCAGGGATAAAGCAAGAAACTAAAATAGGTATTAAGGTAAACTCCTTGCATCACATCCCGCTGACAGCTGTGTATTAATCTTTCTATTTCATAGCCTATTCCTTAAAACGAATGATATTTTTACAGCTCAATGCTACATCAAATAATATGTTACTTTACTTGTTCCAGATTACTTTTCTTTTTTCTGGTTCCAGCTGACCTCATCATTTGGAATTAGCTATTACCCTGGGTGAGCTTAAGTCTTAGTTTAAATCAATCAGTTGTTGTTCATCACAAATGCGTTCATATCATCCTTATGAAGGATTAGACTCAACAACGACAGTAGATATTCATTAATGGGAATGTATTTCGAACATTAAGCATAAGAAATCACTCCTCCCTATTGAAGACACGTATACACATCCAAGTTGAGGGGGTCCAAATTTGACAGATTAATTGTGACAGCACTAGGGAAATGCTCTAGTGATGACAAACACTTGCACTTGACTTTGACTGGGCAAGTCACAAGAGACAGGACTGTCTTTTTGTCTATTTCAATTATAATTTATTTGTCAAAAGAAAAGAAAAGTAAGTTCTACAAAATAGCTGCATATCCTGTTGAAGGCTACTCTTTACCTTTTGATTCAGTGAACCTGTCACACCTAAAGCCTATACTGCACATCAGGTTGTGATGTTCATTCCTACGAACATTCCTTCCCCCTCCCTTGCAAGCTGGTAATTCTATGCAGAACATGGCTAATACCGACAGACCACTTCACCTCTCCACTTTTATATAAAGAATAGGAACTTCTTGCTGGATTTCCCTGTAAGCAGTTTCTAACTTGAAAAACCAAGTACCAGATCCTAGCGAGTCTGAGGATTGTAGGCGGAGGGAACTGATAATTCCCGACTTCATCATGACCCGTCCTACAAATGTGAAAAGAACCACATTTTGGCAGGAAAAAAAAAAAAGCCTGCATGTGGGGAATGATAAAATCCCGTGGTAGCTCAGACTAGATAGTGTATGAGAATCCAGACCTGCAAACCAAACCATATGTTACTTGGCCAGACTCTTCTCCCTCTTAGACAAGATGGCATCAGTCAGGCAAATGCCTCTTTGTGAACCAGGATGATTTTCACATCTGATCCTTAGGGAGCTCGACCCAGCAGCAGAGCGCTTTGAAAACAATATCAAGAATTTCCCAGTCTATGGCCTCATTCCTCTGGAATTCCAACAAACCCCATCACCCAGGCTCAGATCTCTGCCCAGCTCACGCAGTTCACCAGCCACGAGCATCTCCCCTGCTTGCTCTCACCCATCCTCTCAACAGCTCCACCGCTTTATTCCTCCACAGCACAGCACAAAGGACAAGGGACAACCTTCTGTGATCAATAGATAAGTAGAGGTTTAGTGACAAAACCCCACCAGGCTTTAAATACCATCCTCTGAAATACAAATAAACTGAAACAAAAAAAATAAGCCTTGCTGTAGAACAAAACAAAATGAGTTGAATAATCCAGAAAGACACACCCATTAAATAAAACACCTCCTGACCTATTTTTTAATTCTTGATTTGTAACAAGTTTGATATCCAGGACCAGCTTGAGAAGATGTAGAAACTAAACAACTGCTGCAGCCTTGGAGACCAAGGAGATGCTAACTGAAAATTTAAGAAACCTTCACTGGCGATGAGCACATTTTCAGGACTGCTCACCTCATCCTGCCTTTGCAAGCTAATACAAGCAATTTATGAAACGGCCAGCAAAATCATCAAAACACAAATACAGATTTCTTTTAACGCTTATAGTAGTTGTATTTTCCTCTACGAAAATACAACAGCAGAGAGCCCTCCAACGAGAAACTCCTGTTAATAACAAAGTACTTGGGAGAACTGAGAGTAGTGGAATTTTTGCTTAGGGGTTGAAATAGCATTCGCATTTTCAAACATATACTGTTTTTCAAAAAATTATTCCCACTTTTCAAAGCAAAATGCCCGTTTTTGCTAAGAAAAATCTAGAAACCCAAAATAAACTGATAAAACCCGATCTGACAAGCATGTTCTAAGACAGAGAATTTTTTTCCTCTGTGAAAACAATGGCTTTGGAGAAGGTCCATATTGCATCATTTAATGATAAATAACTAAGCTGAGGGCAGTGGCTGGCACTGCTGTCACATGCAATGAAATAACACTCTCCCCCCAAGGAGCTGTTTCCAACTGACACCAACTGAGCACACACCAAACCCCAGGCATTTTTTATGCCGTCAGCTTATCTCTCAGACTTTATGATGCTTTACTATTTAGGCAGAAATCTAATAAACGACTTTTATCTAAGCAGTTGATATGTATCTCTCTCTGGTTAAGTATGTAACATTTGAAAAGCCTTTTCTTTGTCCAGAAAGCTAAACAGAATTTTAGCCAGAGAGATGTGTAAATTGAGTTGAGGGCTTCGCATCACTCTTTCTGATATACCCAAAGGCAAAAGTCCCTCTCCTTACCAGTGATCCTCAAGCAAATGAATAAAATCATAAAACTATGACAAAAAAAATCCAAAACGTAAACAAGTCAGACAAAATAAGAATATCTTTGTTCATAAAACAAACTGAGTATTTATTCAGAACAGACAATGTTCTTGTCCCTCACGTCAAGATTTTGTAAAATACTGCTCTCTAGAAGCAGATGGCTAAAGCATTACTAGAGGGATTTCTCCAGTATTTCTAACCAAGGAGATGCAGAAACCCTGAAAAAAGGGTTCAGAAAAAAGCAATAAAGGCCGAAATCCCAAGACTAAGCTCTACCCTAATTCTGGCTGATCATGCATCTAAATTCCACTTACCCACGCTGAAGAACTATTTTTAAGGTCCACGTATAACTGAAAGTCACAATATTCTGGACAGGCTGTAGAAACCATCCGCAGAAATTCTGCGCAACCTATTCCTGGTGCAGACGGACTCCAGCTAAACCCTCCGACCCAAACCTCATGACCAGAGCCTGGCTCCAGCCCCTGCAGGTGGTCCCTATTTGGAATAACGAGGTGAACCAAAGCCTCAGATGCCAACACCCCTCCACCTCTCAGGGCTGAAACCCGGAGGTGGATTTGCTGGGTTTAGAGGTCCGTCCTGAAGACCTACTGCAAGCAAAAAAAGCCAAACCATATTAAACTCCATCTTCAAAAAAACCCAACTTTTTCAGGAGAGCATAGTATGTGGGAATGGAGGCTGGTTTGGCAAGTACTGGCCTGTGACAGAGCCCAAGGCCTGTTACTTGCTCAACTGGTTTGTTGCTTGTGGTATCGCCCTCTCCAGAAACGCTCACTGCCAGCCGCAAGCAATTGTAAAATATATTTTATGCGATGCTGCTGTGTCCGTTTTAAATCTGACACTTGCTTTTAGTTCCTCACTCAAAAGCATCAGCTTCTTAATCAAATTGTCCGAGATCTGATACAGTATCTCCCCTATTTTTATTCCAGTCTTTTTCTATTTCGGGGTGGTTTCTGGATGCTTGGCTATGAAATTCCCTCCCCTCAGTCTTCAAATTTCTTCCTGAAAAATACCTCTCTGTATATGGTACCTAGTTACTGCAATAACAGTCACCTTAGAAACATTATAAACACACAATTAAATAGGATTCTGTTCCAAAGTCCATTAAGTCAGTAAAATTTTTTCCATTGACTTCAATGAGCTGCAGGATCAGGCACCAAAATACTTTAAATACTTTTTTTTCTATCTATAGACTGCTAATGCAGAATATACTCCATTTTTCACATTTCTCCTCTAACATCCCTGCCCTGACTTCCTTGCCTTGAGACACACACTGCTGTGTCGAGATGTACTTTCTTCCCACGCCAGTCTCCTAAGTGCTGGATTAAACCCCACCCCTACTGCAATTTGGTTTAATGCTTCTTTATTCCCCTTTCCAAAGCTTTCCTCAGAAGGACGTGCTGGCTTAGTGGTTTGGTAAAGGTTTTTCAAACTCTTTATCTACTTTCTGTTACCTGTCTGCGCAGAGGGATTCGCTTTGTCAGCTTATGGACAGCGGGCTGGCTGCTGAAATCCGGCTTCTTGGTGGTGTTCTTCATGCGGCACAGGATGACCGTCAGCACCATGCAGGCAATTAAGAAGACCCCTATGCAGTAAATTGCGATTTCCAGGTAGTCTGGTGACGTTGGATATTCTTTTTCTTTTTCAGGAGCTGGTTTGGAAGTTTTTAGGAGGGAACAATCACGCCACAGAATTAGCACATAATACAAGCATAGGCCAGTACAGTGCTTGGAACAACATGAAATGGTAAAATCTCAGCAATTCTCGCAGTGACTGTGTGACATACAGAATACTGTGGATGTTTTGGCCATCTGGTTATCTGAGACTAATTCCTCCTTCTAGACCACTGCTTGGACTTCTCAGTTTGCCACTGAGTGTGAGCTTGTGCGTATATGTATACATATATAGACATATACTTGTGTCTGCCTAGACAGGTAGATACACTTACATTGAATTATTGGATGATCATTCGTATTTTTAAGGGGCAAGAAAAAACTGAAGCGTTTGAACTAGGCTCAGGTTCATTTTGTTGCTCAAGTCAAACTTCAAAAGCACTGTTATTCTTTTTAAAGACACATCTAAAGATAAAATATTGAATTAGCTAGCCTAAAAGAAAAGTGTCTAAATTCGCAAACAGACATTTGGACTTGACTCTGCATTGCCTATTTATTCAAAATTTTCACTGGGATCTCAAAATACAAAGGGAAGGCAGGATGAATCAGTCCCTCATCTTGTTTCTAAGTTCAGGTTAGGGATTTCAATAGCATTTCGAGGATGCTGCTGCCCTGCTGCTTAACTTGCTGCTGTTCATGCCCGGTACCTAACTCCCCTGAAGTCCTTTGAAGAGCCCAGTGTCGGATTAAAAAGCGTAATGTAAGCAAAAGCTGAATTGCTATCAATACGTTAATTAACGAGTCCTCCTTTGTGAGGACTGCACATTTCAAGTAACCTCATCAGTGGTTACTAGTCTATGAGATGAGATTTTAGTGGGAGTGGTTCTACATAGCTGTTGCTCTGATTGAAACCATTTTGAAATTATCTTCAAGACAGTTATATGTGCAAACGCTGTCCCTAATCCCTTATCTGGGATTCAACCCCCGGATAAGCAGCATTCCACAGCAATCAGCGGTCACTCCGCAAGCAATGCATGTGCAAGCGGAAATTTTCTTGTGCCTCATTCTAGGCTTATAAAAATATTTCATTCAAGAAAATCAGTTCAAATAAATGCTGTTCAAGCACTTGCAAGATGCAAACACTGCCAGCAGAAGCAAGCTCTACACAAGTACTGCGTTGCCTGCTTGGCGACAGACCACGCAGGCTCGGTGTTCGCATACGCGCAACGTGAGAAGGTCGCCTTGTTCAATATATTTTAATAAAGGGTAAGAAATTATCTGCAGAAAGTGGCAACATTTCACTCCCACAATATGAACCTCAGCAATATGCACATGCAGGTTTTGTACCTTTTACTTAGCATTAATGAATAGTAAGCACAGGATGACCCAGCAAACCTCAGGTGGTTCGTGTTTTTTCAGAGGAACTCCTAAGGCAGCTGCCAACACTTATAGATGAGAAAATTTGACTAGTGTCAAAACCAACTACAGTTACATTTTTTTAACAGCTGATAACAATTTTCAGGCAATAAAGCACATTGATGTTTGTTTCTTTTAAAGACAGAAACATCATCAACCCCAGAACAGCAAGACATGCTCTGCAGTAAAAGCAAATGACTACTTGTTTTCTTAGGGCATGCAATGTTTAAAGATGCATGGAGCCGATTCCCAAGATATGGAAGGCACTGCTTCTGTACATGATCCATTGGCATTAAAATTAGAAACTCCACAGGAGATCTGGATGATAGGTAAAAGTAAATTTAAGCACACTAAATAGCTCAGGTTATTTTGATGAGCCAGTACATGACTGTGGCCAAATTAGTCCCAAAGCTTCATAAGAAACTTTGAATTTCCTCCTCTTGAAAAAGTTTACAATGATTAATGTGCTGATTCTCAGTTGTCTCACTGAAGTGCTAAGGAAATACAGCTCCTTAGCATTTCTGATGGACGTTTAACAGATCTAAAAATATTTCAGCTGAGTGCAATAGCCATTTCCCACCCTGCTTTTTTATGTTGTTGCCAGGTTTTTGGAGTTGCAAATATGTGACAAGATAAATCATTGGCTTGAGACAACTGTGTTCAAAAAAATCATTGTAAAAGTCCTTTTCTGAGACAGAAGCTGTGCTAATTCTGCAGCAATCAACAAGGGGAAAAAAAAAGAGGAAAAACCACAGAAAGAGAGCAGTGTATACCTGGCAGAACTGTCAACCATGCAGTGTGAAAGGATATCCCAATAGAATTACCCGCCAAGCATGTATACTCCCCAGCATCCTCAAAAGTTACATTCCGTATATAGAGAACCTCAATTTCTTTGTCCGTGGTGTTAACACCGGCAGCCTAAAAAAAAACAAAAGAGGGAAGCAAGAGAAAAAGCTAGACATTGAGAGAATTCTTGTGGATAGGGAGATGGAGCCACAGGGCTTTGCACTTTGTAAAGGCAGAGGTGTAGAGATGCAAAGCTCCTTCCCCATCCACAATCCCTCATCCAAAAGGCGTTTACCAACAGGTCCCAGCTCACCTCAGAAAGTAATCAACACCCTTCACCAGACCTAAACTCACCACCTAAACATGCATGCAATCAAATGACATGGAAAAATTAACCCACAAAGCTTTTTTTTTTTTCTTCTTTTTTAAAAAAAGAAAGTTGAAAGAAAAACAAAGAGAAAACAAAGTGGGACAGAATGTGGGCTCCTCATGTAGTTACCTGTTTCAGAGGAAAGAATTTACTATAAAAACATACTCTGAAATGATAAAGGGGGGGGAATTCTGTTCCAAGAGACGCAGCTTTGTGGCTGTCTTGAGCAGTGTATGGTCCTTGCATCATTCACCACACTACAGCCAAACACTGTACTTTGTGCAGTGCTGCCAAATCTTATTTTAGTCTGAAGGCTGGTAATATTGGGTGGTTTGCTCAGAAGCACAGTGGAAGGTACCTCAGCTCTTTTTCAAAAAAGATCAGTTGTGGCTCTCAGAAATCTGGAGGCAGACTGGACCCCAAAGCTTTGAGAACCAGGAGATGGAAATAAAATAGATTTTTCTAAATCTTAGAGACTGAAAAAAATTCCAGAATGGTTTTATTTTTTGCTGGTCTCCTTCCAGACTTGTTAAATAAATCTCTGACTTGACAAGTCATGATGCACCAAACTAATCAGTGTATCAATGATTATCCAAACTCATACAAATAGAGTAAATCTTAGACCTGGAACTTCGTAGCTGCCCCAGGATGGGTGCAGCAGGGCATCAGTGTCAAGGTCTCTGGGATGGAGATTTAAAGAAATTATTGTTTACTGCTTTTTGTCTACGTTCCATTCAAAATGTTACTTTGAAACACATGACGAGAGAATAAACACATTTTTACCAGACCATTTGAAGGTATATTTTGATGTGAGTTGTACTCATATTGTTGCCAGTCTTTATTGCTGTTGATGGGTTATTACCCAGTTAATAACAGGTGAATAACTGGAAAATCCTCCCACCCTGCACAGTCACAGGTGATGTGGGAAGTTATAAGAGACTAAACTGACCTGACTTATGCTTCTGTGAGTACTTATACACACACACACATATATATAAATTTACTCTAATTAGTTTGTAATTACATTATTCAACAAGTAGCCTACATGTGAACTGCAAAGTATGAAAACTGGACACAAACACACAGACACAAAGACACCAAACACAAGAGAGAATAAAGATCAGCATCAGAAACCAGTGCTTATGGTACACACAGAATATTGTGGGAATTTTTCCATGGCTGCTGGTGTAATACCAGTTGCGTCACCGAAGGAGGATTACACATATACCACAAGGCCAAAGAGTTATCCTACAAGCTGCCTGCAGTCTCCCAAAGCACCATTTTTACCAGCTTCTACATCCAGCTTGCTTTAAAAAACATTGTTACCTTGTATACTTGGCAGAACAGAGAGCCAGGCAGACTGGTTGGCCTCCCCTATATAATTGGAGACCTTACAAATATATTCTCCAGCGTCCGCCTCTGTCACATTGTACAGTGTCAGCACTTCAGCATTGGAACTATTTATCCCCGAATGCTAGAATAGACCAATAACACAGGAGAACAATGTCACTGCTGCCCAGAACGGACACCAATCTGTCTACGGTCCCACCACCAACACGTCATAAGAATATGCCTTCCACTTCATACAGGTATCAGCATCAAAACATGGAGGGTTTGGGATTTGTTTGGGGGTTTTGTTGTTGGTTGGATTTTTATAAATCTGAAGGATCACACAGCGTCACTGGGGAAAAAAGCACCTGGCCTGGTACACCAGCTGCGTGGAACAAGGTGGCATGGAGCTGGCTGTCCTGCCTGCCAAGGCGCTGAGTTTTGGCAGTGCCACCCAGCTCAGAAAACGATGGACTTTCCTTGGCCAGGCTTGCTCAAAATGCCTGCCAGCAGCAATGACACCACCGATATGCCACGGCACGCTGGAGAAAAATGGGCATCTCTGTGCAGGCTGAGCATCCAGAACACCCAATCCTGCCAGTGAGCCTTTGGCAGCAGGTGCCGCATTACTTTGAAATACAGAGGCTGAAGAAATGTGGAAGAATGGAGGAGATTCTCCCAGGAATGTTTTGGATGTGCTCTACCAAAACGTAAATGTCAATGATGTTCTTTAAGAGAGTTTACACTTTTTTCTGAATAAGTCATGCCTGAAATATTCAGAGAGAAAGGATTTCATGGAAGTGAAAAAAAAGAGAAGCATCTATAAGCTGCACTATTAGCATTTAGACTACCAAATGTTTGTCGAACTTATTTCATTTGCAACATAAACGCTTCCATTTTCAAAAAACGTTCAGATCTCAAAATTCTTGGATTTACGCCAAATAAATTCAACGCTTTAAAGAAGTTGTCACCATCACCGGCATCCGTAAAACCTCACCTTTAAAACCTGAAGATACGGCAGTCCATCTGGTCCGTATTTACTGCCATTCTTCTCTACGTGTTTTATCCACTGAATGTGAGGTTGAGCATCACTGTAGACTTTGCAGACAAACTCGACGTCACCTCCGACAACGGCAGAGGCGTTTGCTGGAAGGCCAGCTTGGAGGATGGGTCTGTGCGGTGATCGCTCTGCTCGGGCGGGGAGGGGGAGCGAGAAGGAGCAAGAGAGAGAGAGAGAGAGAGAGAGAAATAAAGATACATAAATAAGCAGAGCTGCCAAGAAAACTGTAAGTGAACTCGAGCCAAAAAGCCCTGTAAGCCTGTTGGCTGACTCCTCCGAAATAACACTGCAGCCAAAACGTGTAACAAAAACTACAGTTCAAAGGAGATGACTCTAGCACTACACTTGTAGTATAAAGAATAGTTGGGGGGGGGGGAAAAGAAACCTTGCTTAAAAACTTTAAGCATTTTTCATAGTTCAAATCAGCAAGAATTAAGTAAAATATCCTCTTTTTTTTTTTAAGCTATTGTGATAAGTACCTCTGAGTTTGTAAACATTCTACTTGGAATAAATCTCAACAAATTAAGAAAGACTATTGATTAATTTTAGAAACTGATTAATGTATTAAAATATACCAAAGGGAATTTCTCAGAACTAGCAGCAGAAGCCTCAGCACTGAAACTCCTCGCGCAGGACGCGCACACCAGCCAGCTCGGCTTTTCCGAACGCTCTGACCAGCGCTACCGCGATAGCTGCTCTCTGACGTCACCCAGACACAGCACCAGAAATACCACTTCGCACTTCTTCTGAGCAGGACGCAGGGAAATACAGACTTCCCTGGAAAACTGCAGTGTATTTAACGTGAGCCAAGAGAGCTTTTAATCTACAGACTTGCTTAAGCATTTATCAAACGTTCTTGGTTAAGTTACACCACTGACTATACCGAGTGCACCCTGTGTCACCGGGGTACCCAGAAAGCTGCTGCAGTCAGCGTTCCCAGCCTGATTTTGTGGACACGATATGCATGGCCTTTCAGCAAAGCATCAACGGGAGGCTTGCTCTCAGCTATGACAGAGAGGCAGCTTTCCATCACCCTTACGAAGCCCGATTTCAAGTTGCTGAAGTCTTCTGGATGGTGGGCAGGGCATGAGCCCAGCTCCCCAGCCTCCGGGGCCACCAACAGCCTCTTTTTGCTGCACAAGGCAAGTGGGCAAAGCATAAAACCTTTTCATTCAAACATCACATAAGAGAAAATCCTCTAAATGACAGCCGTGGTTACCAAATGCCTTTATCATCCAGGGAGTGGGACGGACACTGCCACCCTCCCCAGAAACCCTTCAGAGAATCACAATCACAGAACCACAGAATATCAGGGGTTGGAAGGGACCTCTGTGGGTCACCCATTCCAACCCGCCTCCCGAAGCAGGGTCACCCACAGCAGGCTGCACAGCACCTTGTCCAGGCGGGTCTTGAATATCTAGAGAGCTGGAGTTTCATCAGCCTAGCTGGGAACTTACCACCTTCTCCACGCAAACTTCACTCTGTTCATTTCTTTTGGTAAGAAAGCAAAGTTAATACTGACCTACATATGATATACATAATACTGACCTACATATGATACACATAATTCAACCCATGAATTAGAAGCAAAACACCCATTGCCCAGCCCCAGCCCCTTCTCCTCTGCTCCAGGAATTCTTTCAAAGATAAGTAAAATGCAGCGGACATAAATATTTATTTTCAGAGGCTGTACACTGTAAAAGCTTTGACATTACAAGCCAAATCAACCCAATTCCAAATCAAGCGTTCCTTCTTAAACATACCAGTTTCCAATAAACTGTTTCACAAGCAAACATTGCGAGTGTAATAGCAAATAATGACGCCCGTGGAACAATGGGATCTTTTATACAGTCCAATATATTTGGCATGCGGCAAATATCTACTGGGAATTTATGCACTGAGGCTACGCTGGCAGCGCGCTACAAAGCAGCAGTCTTATTTTACTTGTGGCAAAAGTGCGTTTGTGTTGCAGTTATTTAATTATGCCATGGCTATGTGTGTCATTTTCAAAGATCTAGTAACAGTTTAATATTTTTTAATTTGTAAATTACAGTAGAACATATAAATTACTATTTTACAGTTCTGGAGAGAACCTTTAGTTTCTCACCTTATACTAAATAAGCCCTAATTCCACCTCCCTAGCTCCTTCATTTGGGTACAAAAACAGCAAGAAAAATCTCTCTTTAATAGAAACCTTACACCATCTTCCAAAACTTATTACAGCTGCCTTCAGTATAAAATGAAACCTTAGAGAATGTTATTTAAAATGTTTTTTAGAAGTCAGTAGGCCTCATGTTTCATTTCTCCACATCAGGGTTTGATTTCCTTTGTGACCTTATTCTCTGCCCTTAAACAAACCACAGAACGAGGCCTGAAACATCTTGGAAAAGTTCCTACTATGCCAGCATCAACACATGAAATGTGTTTAGTTTGTCCCGATAGCCATCAAGGATTTTATCTTTTATTGATGACTGTCAAACGTTTACTCTACTGAAAAAGAAGAGGCAAAGCAAAACAAGTGAAAGCAAAGTTCTTACATTCTTGGTCCCAAATTCCTTTAGAAAAATTAAATAATGTGCGTGCATTTGTGAAATTTCTTCTCTAAGGGTAAATATGTTAAAAACAAACTGTAGCTGCCCTCCAACATATGGAGCCATGATTAGTGTTCGCCAGCTCCCCCACTTCAGCAGCAGGGAGTATTCCTATGCCCACACAGGCAAACAGCACAGAAGAACGTAACCATCATGATGCAGATTCACCGGGGTTTCGTGAACAATCCTGGAGTCCATTACCACAATAAATGTGCTCCGTAGTGGGGAAAAAAATCTAAATATGGAGAAACTTCCACTAACTACAAATGACCAAGTATAATTCTGTACAGTATCATTTCTCGGAAATATTCATTTTGGCATGTTACCCTGTCTTTGCTATTTCTCTGCAAACCACACACATCTAAGGACTCTGCTTAAGCACAGGTACTGTCAAAACCACGTGCATAAATCTCACATCACTGTTTAGCATTTAAAATACAAACCTTACATTTGTGTGCACATATCATCACTCAATCCAATGGCTACAGTAATATTAAATGTAAATGGTGTTTTCTTTTTTACAAAAGACTAGCAAAAGAGTCAAAGTTGCCTTAAAGAAAAAAATCGTACAGGCTGGTGAAACCAGTTGTATCATTTGCCTTACATAACCTAATAATGATAATCAGCATCATCGCTAAACTATAGTGACCATATATATCTCTAGCTATTTAACTCAGACAAACAATATTTTCATACAAAACAAGTCGGCAGCCAGGCTTCTAGTTCTGTAGCCCTGCTGATTTCAGTATGTCCCTTGTTTATTAATATTGGCTTGAATCAGAACCTCAAGAAATAAATCTTTGCTATTTGACCATTGAAATGTTAGTGTTCCACTCTCGCTGCTAACATAACATCTTTCAAAAACAAGTCAATGGCATATCATAGAATCATAGGTTGGAAAAGATCTCTACGATCATCAAGTCCAACCATCCACCCAACACCACCATGCCTGCTAAACCATATCCCGAAGTGCCACATCTACACATTTTTTAAACACCTCCAGGGATGGTGACTCCACCACTGCCCTGGG